TTCATTATTTTTTTAACGTCGCAAGCACACCTGTAGGTTTACTACCTCGTGATTCGAAATTGAGAGTTATCTTAAGATGCAGGATCGCGCAATTACCGATTATTTTGGTGTGAGTAAAACTCCCTCGGCTTATCATCTACGCAAGCGAGATATATCAAAATTATCTCCAGACACAATTAAGGTATTCTATTATTTAATGACTTTTCTTAGACACCTGATCTCAAACGTCCTGCTCATGAGAAATTTGCGACTCTAATATCTAAAGCGGTTAGTTATTTTTCGATATATTTCTTTCTTTAGGAGAACACTGTCAAAATTAACTTTTCACTGGTAAGATTTTTTGGAAAACTAAATGTAAGGGGGAAAATGAAACTCCAAATTCCACAAAACATCATGTTAAAACTCCAAAAATCGTTAAAAAGGCTTCAAATACACCATCCCGGAGGGTATGCTTTCTATCATCTTATCTGTTTAGACTAGATCTAAAGCCTCTATTAAAGATTTATCCCAGCCAAAACTTGATTTGTGGGTAAATGAAAAGTCTGGGAGCGTCGCTTTGGCGTTGGAGGCACGCATTAACTTTCTTACTTTATCTTGTCTAGGTACAAATAGAAAAACCAGAGGGATCTATATCTTTTGGAAAAAGAAAAGTAAGCTTTTGTGCGCCAATAAGCTTGAATTTAATATTTATTACTCGTACCTTAGTTGTATATTTTGCTTCAAGGTGTCTGCTCTTGACAATTGTATTGAGTCGAAAGAAGAGCCACTCCGAACCAAACAGTCTATTCCAAACTTGGATCATTTTGCCAGCTCATCACCGATAAAAACGTTGACTTTCTTGCCTGCACATGAGCGCTTTGCACATTTAAGTTCAAATGCTTCCACACCGGCCCTTCATACTTCCCCATTAAAAACTCCAACTAAAAAGTTTCTCTCTCAGCATCAAGAGCAATATGGAGTTTCCCTACCGCGTCCAGGGGAGGAAAATGTAACCGCACTCACTAATTTAGTGGAAGGTGCAGAGGCTACTAGCATCATCTCGCCTGAACTTCATCTTCCCTCGCATATGCGTCTTCTTTGGGAGCTGTTTCGAGCTTGTGATAATGTAGTGAGTATGCTTCATAATCGCTCTGAGATGTGTCGTTTCGATAAAGTTCGTCTTTCTGTTCAAGAAATCGTCAGGAGGTATCTTCAAATATTTGCGGTTCACTTGACAAAATTTAAACCATTTTAGCATTGCCTCTACTGCTTCTTAACTTTTCGATATTTTAGAGATTTTGATGAAAGGCATGTTGCTCAGTTTATTACTGTGTATCCAGATGCTTACAAGTTACATTACGAAAGACAATTAGACAAACATACACGACAGGCAACTAGCGAATTCGTATTAGTGTTGACTCCAAATTTACGTACAGGTTAGTTTGCATAAATAATGTTATTTGTCTTGGTGCAAAGACATCTTGATAAGATTCATGAAGTAGATGGTTTATTATAAATACGCGTTT